AAGGTCCCAGAGCAGCTGTGGGGGCAGATAGCCACTGTGGTGTCGGTGCCTGTAATCTGGCTTTAGGAGCTGAGGGAGGTAGAAGAGCTGAGGATTTGATCTTGAGCCCTAGACAGGGCCTGGGTGGCCCAGGTCTGAGTCCTGATCTCCCATTTATTAGTGAGGGAGTTTGAACAAACTCCTTCGCCGTGCCTCCGTTTTCCCCGTAAAATGGGAATTTTACCCACATGCATCTCACAGACCTCAAGCCTGGGCTCAGCATGGGCACCAGGGCTAGCTGCTGTTGGTTAGTGAGCAGCAGCAGCAGCTGCAGCCTAGGTGTGAGTCGTGCTGCTTGACTCCCCATGCTATACCCAGCCCTGGCCTCGCAGGGTGCGGGGGGCTTGTTGCAGCAGTGAGAACTTTTGGATTTAGGGTCAAAACAATTTCTGGCCGTGGTATCCATTAGTCTCTGACACTCATCAGTCTTAAGTTAATCTCTCTGAGGCTCAGTCTGGTCACCTAAAAAGTGGGAGTAACTGGGTCCTTTCTAGGCTGTGGCCCCACATAATTTCTCTTAAGCAGAAAGCACATCTTGCCATCTGGGAAACCTCTGGGGAGGCCCACGGCAGCAACAGAGAGCTCAGCCAGGCCCCAAAGGACTGCTCGGCCAGCACCTTCTACTCTGTATCTAGCAGCTGCAGAAGCCAAGAGTGGGCTGAGCATGAAGGGCTTCCTGGAGGAGGCAGGGCTGAAACTGTGTGTGGACCCAGGGGCTGTCTCCTGACCACCCCCCCACCACAAAAAAATTCAGTTGAGATACCATGGGGGCATGAGGCACTGACCCCTGGCACCACCCAGCTTGGTGCCAAGAGCAGAGTTGGGAAGGAAGGGCTTGTAGCTGGCAGTCGGCACCTGGGGCTCATCTGGGTTCTGGCTGCAGTGCTGAGGCCCCCAGGGCTGGTCAGGCCCTGTCTGGATTCTTTACCAGGCCCAAGGTGGGAAGTCAGTCCCTTCCTTACGGCAGAGAGAGGACCCGGCATTGCAGACGTGGTGCAGGGGAGGAGATGGCAATCACTGGGTCATTTGAGCATGTTTTGCAGTGCCAGGTGCTGTGCCAGCACTGAGGGTACAGCAAGACACACAGACAAGGTCCCTGCCGTGGGGGGTGGCGGGGGAGACAGATGTGTTATATAAATGAGCCAAAGGTCAGCGGATGAGAAGTTGTTTTGGGATAAGGGCAGGGCTCAGAGCCAAGGAGAAGACATCTGATTGTGGTTTGCAGCCCAAACTGCTGAGCCTGGTCATGACTCCCAGGTAATGAGCCTGAGTCAGACCTGGGAGTATCTGGGCAAGGGGTCCAAGACCTAGGTCCTCACTCTGGCTCTGCCATTGACAACTGGTGGCCTAGGGTGATGCAGGGTGGGACTGCTCCTCCCTGGGCCTCACCTGGCTGGCTCGCATGTCTTGAGACAGACATAGTAAGCATCTGCTGCTAACTGAGGCTGCTTCACTCTGAGCTGAGGCTGCACCTCAGCCCAGGGAAGGTTTCCTGGGCCAGCTGTGGCGAGTGCAGAGGAAGGAGACAGATGTGTTACATAAATAAGCCAAAGGACAGCGGATGAGAACAAGGAAGGAGGGTGAGATTGCTCCCCAGAGAGGTCAGGAGGCCAGGCACAGGCTTAGCAGGAGGGCCAGGGAGGGGCTGAGGCCTGTGGGCAAGACTCCAGCTCAGAGGCGGGAGGAGTTGGGTTCCAACCTTGCTCTACCATCATCAATCAGTGTGACCCTGGGAAGGTCACTGTGGTCTCCAAGCTGAGCTTGGCCATCACCACGCTGAACATTGTCAGTTGCTGTACCCATTTGAAGAGAGCCCTGGCTCTCTCTTGCATTAGCATTTAAACACTTTTCCCAGAAGTCATCTCACAGATCCTTCATGCTGCCCACAAGGGGGCAAACGGTGTCCCCTTTCCTGTTCACTGCCTGAGTTCCCTGCTCTCAGAGGCTCTGAGGAAGTAGCCCAACTCCCTGTGGTGGCAGGAGCCCCATCTGGGTGGCCCTGCCTGGCAACATCCCCTGTCCCATGACCCTCTTCTCTGAACCTGAGCTTCAGTTCCTCCATCCGCCCCATTTTCTCTTGCTGCAGTGCTGTTCCCTGTGCCTGGAATGTTCTTCCTGCCCCTCCCTCTCCTGCACTGCCTTACTGGCTTCTCTGCATCCTTCAGCATACTGTGGCTCGAGGCCTGCTTTCCCTGGGAGGCCACCACTGGCCTCCAGTTGGGCTCAGTTCTTTGGCTGTTGCTCTCCATTTAGGGCTCTGTTTGTATTTCCTGAGGGCCATCATGTTTTGAGCCTGAACATTTATCCATGTGACATTTGCCTGACCCCTGTCCCCTGTACTAGAAGGCATGTGCCATGGGATCCCCTCCCCCAGCCTCATTTCTCAGCAGCCTCTTACAGCTCTCATCTCTC